CTTGTCAGCCACCTAGAGTCACTTATATAGTGAGATGGGCAGCATATAAATGTGATTGATAAATAAATAAATAAATAAATAAATAAATAAATAAATAAAGAGAGGTGAGTGTTTCTCCCTCCTGCAAAGTTGCAGCGACATCAGTAAACAATTGGTCATCCATGGGTTCAGCATATTTGTCTCCAGTGGACAACTATGCAAAGAGCTGAAGTATTTGTGGAGACCAATTGTTCTGTAGAGAGCAGCTCTTTGCACTGAAGACCAGCTGCTTACATGATTTGATCTCCCTTCACAAATGGTGTCCTCAATTTCACTAGATTTACAGAAACATAATACTCTGGTCAAACCAAAAGGTCAGTAATTACGGGCAGGATAACAGTTCCTTTCTACAGTTAAGCTGGTATGCCCTAGAAGGAACTTGACAGGCATGTCTAGTTGAGCAGAGAATCCCACTTTGAAGAAAGCCAAGAAGCCTTCAATAGCCCCTTCCATTAATCTTAATGTACAGCGATTTGAGTAGCAAGAGGGAATCAAGATGAGACTAAAAGGACCTAAAACTGGCTCCTAAGATTCCACAGACATTCTCCTCATCTCTTCCCATTTACATTACTGATGGCTGGGTCCTGGTAAAGCAATGCCAGGTGTAGCTAAAAGATATCTGTATATGGTCAGAGTCATGAGAAGCCATCAGCTTGTCCTGAACCATTCTTTTGGTCAATCAGTGCAACAGGCAATATGCTTTTCAATGATTCACTGGTTCTTCCCCGAAACTAATTTAAAAAAAAACAAGAAGAAGAAGTCTGGAAAACCTTGACCCGTCAATCTTTTGGCAATTGCTTTGTTTAACCCAATCACCTGTCCCACCCTTCCCCTCCCTCCCTCATCTTTCTGACTCTTGTTCTTAGTCTTGGCAACCTCTATCTCCCTGGTACTAGCAATAATTTTGCCTCAAAGTGTTATCAACACCCTTTAGAATCTCAGATATGTCTCCCATCACCTACTAGATGCCATTGTAACTGCCTGGCTTTGAACTGACAGCTTCTATTTGGAAAACATGAGATCTATCACTAAGCTACCAGGATGTAAATAAGCCTCCATAACTACCCTAACATGGCTTATTTTATGGTCCAAGATAATAAGGCTGTAAGAATTGGTCTTGTTGAGCCAGTATGATGCTTAGAGACAGGAGAAATATCCAGTAAGTCAAACACAAGAGCTAACAAAGCTCAGCTGCATACCTAAAATTAAACCTTGCATGGGTATACTGGACTTAAAAAAAAAAAAGCTGTTGGTCTTCATGGCTGGGTTCATGCAACAACCTTAATCAGGCCAGTTATAAATGTAGCAGATTAATTTTCATAAGATGCTATACTTAGTTCTAAGAGTGGTTAGGGTTTTTTTCCATGTCTTAGTAGGCTGTGTAAATTTCTGCCCATTTGGTTAATTTATGGTTCAATGTATTATTTGATGCAATGCATAAATAAATAGATAAATTCAGCAGTCAAATTAAGTGAGTTGTGTGAATGCAGCCATAAAGAGTAGCTGCCATTATCAAGCCACCCATATATTGCATCTAACCTTCATCTCCACTGCCCTCTTAAACATAGAGTTGTTCTTTTCTAAAAGGAAAAGTCTATCTTGAGTTGAGCTCAACCCTCAGTAACAACATAGACACGTCTGTGATATTTTCCTGGAAACTATATGGATATGGCTTGACATTGCCTTCTTCTGGATTCCCCCCTCCTCCCCCCCAGCTCCAGGATTTCCTGATGGTTTATCATCCAAGCATTAACCAGACCTCACCTTGCTTCACTTTTTCCAGTTGCACAATGAGCTAGGTACTACCACCTGCTGTGACTGTCTTCTCTACAATAGGTCTTTGTATCTAAGGGCACAATTTTTAGTATCATCCAAGATTAGTTCCTGCCCTTCTTTACTTAACAGCAGGATACATTTTTTTCATTCTTTAAATTTTCAGGTAAACTTTGTAGACCTAATGTTGGTGGATACTATGCAGTATTTGATCAGTTTGCTTGAGTCTGTGTACCTTCAAAGCTTCTTTCTTGGCCCTTTACTCCTAAAATTCAGGATGTGATCATGTATCTGTGCAGAGTTGGCAACTAGATCTTACTGAGTTTTATTATACCTTTTGGCTACCATGCTGGGATTTTCTGTGTGTGTGCGTGCAAGTTGGGTAGGTGTGTGTATTTCCTTCTCAAAATTATTATCCCCAAAGTGCTGAAGGCTCAGAAACTCTCCATCCCCCCCAACTTATTTTCTAATTCACTACAAAGGAGAATTTCACCTGAGCTTCATGTTTGTTTCTACCTGCGTGTGTTAGCCCACAAAATGAAATGGCAAATCTATTCAACAAATCCGTATTAGTTTAACTAAGGCAGTTCAATCTTAGGAGGGTCTTCTAATGAAGCAGACAGGAGAAACATACTGATCCCATCACAGGTTCAGAAAGGCAGATCTGGAATCTGACTCTCAGCATTTGAAGATAAATTATTCAAGGTAGATGAACAAAGAGAGAAAGGACAAAGAAACTTAACATGTAGATGTTTCCATCTTCCCAAAAGCACCAATAGTTGGCCCTTTGAATGCTTAATAACTGAAGCACTTGATTCTTTCCCCAAATAAATAGGGTATGAGTATGTGCGTGCTATATGTGTCACCACTGGCCTATTCCATTCTTCCTGGCAATATAGCACTCCCTCGGTTCAGAAACGGTTGCCGTTTTCTGCAAAGCTTCCTTTGTTCCCCTGAGGCTCCCAGTCCTATTTAAAATAGTTGAGTCCTGCCACAAGAAAGAACTTTTCCAGGAACAGTTCAGAATCCAGCACAGCTATGTGTGCAGCTCGCCCAATCAGTGTGTTAGCCGTGTTTGGCAAGGCGTGGAATACATTGTGACGGATTAAAGTGCAGTCCTTAGCTCCAACAACGGGCTGGAGAAGGTTGTTGATCATCTCAGCATAAACAGGACCTTGGAAAATTGAAAAAAGGAGACCATCATCATCATCATCAGTCATGACCACCACCATCACCACCATCATCATTTGCTGTGCAATTTCTCCAGTGTTGTCTTTCCCACGGATAGCAGATTCTGTTTTGCTCTTTTGCTCTTTTTAATACTGTCATTATTAGAGTGTTGTGGAACAGCAGGCTGATTGAACAAAATTGCAGGTGCCTCTGCTGTCTTCTTTCCTTCCCATCTGAGCCTCCTCCCCAGCGTCAGCATAGCAGAGTTGCCAATAAAGCTGCAACCTTGACCCAAGTGCAGGAGGAGACCAGAGGAGATGTAAGTTTTGGAGCTCTGCAGCCACCAGCAAACAGCAGCCAAACAAAAAGAGGGGCTTCTCTTTCAGAAGGAATGGATGGTCCAAAAGAGAAGAAAACAGGTAAAGAGGCCCAGCAAGACAAAGCAGAACATAAAACAAGGTCCAAGAGCTATACATGCTGGCCATTAACAGAAAAGGGAGAAGAGATCTCAGAGAGAGAGGATTTAAGACAGAACAGGCTTAAGAAAGAAATGTTGATGCATGCTGATAGTAGTACAGAGCATGGTATATAGGTAATTGTAATAAGTAATAGAGTAATAAGTAATTGTAATAGAATATAGTATGTTGAATAGTAATAGTATAGAGTACATTATAAACATTGTCATAGTAATAGTAATGGAAGAGTAATAGCATATAGTAATTGTCATGGTAATAATATAGAAAGAGCACTAAACAGAATATAGGAAGCACTCATATATCACTTTTATGTCTTTGTTTTCACAAAATCAAGCATCTCCCCAAACAGGGAGATATAAAGAAACCACCTGTCCAGGGTCCAGTGCTTTATATCTCTCTTGAGTCTCGGTCAATCTAATTGGGGATGGTTTAAAAAATGAACCCATGACAAGCCTTTTTGAAATAGCGGAGAACATATAAAGCTCAGAGATGAATTGTTGGGTTCTTGGTGTTCTCTGAGCTTGGTCTTCATCTTGCAGTCATTTCGTTATGAGGGTAGGTCACATCATCTCCTCACTTCCCAATGCAGAGCACTGACAATGTGACCCAGTCTGGTAATTGGTTTTCAGCAGAGAACACCAAGGACCCAACTAGAGTGTTATTCATTAACATTACTATTGTTATGGTCGTTTTGACTGCTGCTGACTTCCATATACAGTTTTTGGGTACAGTGGAAATGTAATTTATTATATGGCTTGTTGTCTTGTAGCTGCTGTGAGTCTGCTGTGAGTGGGTGGCTTACATATTTATTATTATTGCTGTTTACACAGAGTCTTCCAGATAGTTTTGTCTGGACTGGGTACCTTTGAGTATCAAATCCTTCCCAAGGATCTAAGACAGTTGAAGTGATCATCATAAAATATCCACTGTTCTAAGTAATGCAACTTTTTGTAATTGATGAGATTCTACCCATTCTATTATGTCCTATTTTCCAGATCTTTTTGGGATGGCACCAAGGGCATTATCATGATTTTCTTTTTCCACATTCATTCAATCTCTATTTGAAAGTCTTTATATTTCCCTATTTTTTCTAGTTCTTTCTCACTGACCCTTCTGTCTCCAGGCACTGCAATGTCAATGATCTATATTTGCTTCTTTGTAAACATAGTCATGTCTGGCTTATTATGGTCTTAATGTTTATCATTTTGTATTTAGAAGTCCTACTTCCATTATGATTATAATTATTTCATTCTCAGAGTTCTCGAGAATTATCCTTGCATTTTCCTTAGTGATATTTTTGAGTTTATTGTTAGCCAATGGTTGTTGTCATAACAATTGTGACAAGATTGCCAATCCTATATATACATAGGATATATATATCTCCATCCCTTTACTTTTATCTACTAGCATCTTTCAGTCACTTTAGGACATGCATTGTTGAGACAGGATTCCCCCCACCCCTTATATAATATATATTTGCCAATAGACTAGTTAGGATAAATTAGTCTTAGAAAATTGAAATGAATGCAGTGAATACCTCAACTGGAAGGGACTCTCACCTGTATGTCTGTCTTTCAAGGCGGATTTACACATTTCTATTCTTGCAGAATGAAATGGTACATATCGGTCTTGGGGAGAGGCAACAAGAACTACATTTTTGAAATACTGAAGACCTGTGAAAAAGAGAGAGAAAGATTTCTGGCAGATTTCTTCAGAGCAGGAAATTGAGGAATTTAACCCTCTACATTGAAAGGGGATGTACAAAATTTAAATTCCCAATGCATGATAATTTTGGAATCAAATACAATAACAGCCATACTGACATGAGGGAGAAACAACATCCTGAGATTATACCCTTGTTTGACCAACAGGAAGGTTACAAAATAGTCTGCTAATTTTTATATGCATGACTTGGAAATACCATATTTTGTTGTTCAACTGCAAGATCCCACATTTAATAAAAGTAGGATGACTTTAGGTCCCCTACATTGGAATCATACTGTTAGTGAATTTGTCCTAATTTGGCTTTGTCCTTATTGCTAATAAAAGCTTAAATTACTTCCAGCTATCAATATCACATTGCCTTCTGTGTACATCTCATAAAATATGGAGTGGGTTTTAATTGTAACATTTATATTTCAAACCATGGTGAACCAAGAATTGTTTCCTGTTCACAACAGGCTTTGAAAGAGGGAGGGAGGGAGGGAGGGAGGGAAGTGGAGGGGGATGGGGTGAAACCCAGTTTTAGATATCGTGATATGGTTCAAAACTATTATTTGTTCTTCTTTCTCTGTTTCCTTCTGATTTCTGGAGTTTTAACTATCTTGTTTAAAAGTTTCTGAAAGCTTAAAAGTCTGCAATCTTCTTATATCTTAATATGGATTCTGAATGCTAGTATAAATTTGCTCACCCTGTTTTAGTAGCTACAATGGTATATTCCATACATCACAAAGTAGACCTGGGCATGTTATGCACACATAAGAATCAGCATCCCTAGCTACACTAAATTCTAGATTTGACTGACATCTTTCGGCCAAATAAATATAATGGCATCTTTGTATATATGTGCTGTATATGGGCATATACCTGATACACACACATGCATGAGTCTTTTCTGATACAGTTTCTTCCCCCTAGTTAACTTTTATATCCATGCTGAAATCAGATTTCATGCACCCTTCCATAGGCGAGAGACCTCTAAAAGGCAACAGAATTATCATTAATTACCATTAAATATATAATACCCCATTTACAACAAAGACAGAGATTCCCAGTGGATTCTACAAACACATGCACAAAATTTGTGTACTCTTAAGTGACAGAGTGCGTCTCTGCTAAAAGGAAGGAAAGATAACAAGCTTCTGAACTTCCAATCGTATGTCCATGTTTTCAACAATCACCTATGCACTTACATATACGTCACTCACTCCTTGAATGTCTCTCAAAACATATTACTGTATATACACATTAAAAGTAGCATAAAAGCTTGTAAATAGTATAGAAGTTAACTCTCTTCCTACACTGTGTTGGGAAAGACAACTGTTTCAACTCCAATAGCAGTTTATTTCCCAAAGTCCCATTGGCCCTTGATTTTTTTTTTTAATTAAAGGTGGCTAAGGAAAAGTGCATTTAGAAGAGGAAAAATGGAGATGGGTGGCTCTAGGGGAGTGGGATAAAGATAACTTTTTTTAATCAATTATTTTCCACTTAGTTAACTTAGTTAACTTTTAAGTGCTGGCTGGGGAATCCTGGGAGTTGAACTCCACACATCTTAAAGTTGCCAAGGCTGAGAAACACTGGTTAACCCCAAAGAGAATAGTGTCATGGGTAACACACGTAAGTAGGGATCTCAGCATTAAATTGCTGGAAGATGCTCTTCATTCTAGTCCAGATATTGAGTGGGAACATCTAATTACAGGATTATCTTGCAATCCTATGTTTCTACTAATCTATAGGTCCGTGATAACCTATGAAGAAAAGGCCATTCTGGAAAATCCTTCCTACACAAGAACCATTTTCCCATTTAGTTGGTGCCTTTCTATAATAGGGGGTTGGCATGGAATGCTCTCTCACCCACCTGTTTTTTGGCTAAGCTGGTAAAGGAAACACTTCCGCAGATCTGCATTGTCCCTGAAAGTCAGCTGCAAAAGGGACCCAGATTTCTTCAGCTTCTGCATGAGCCACAGACCTAGAAAAAATAAACTGAGAGTTGATCTGCAAGAGCAACTACCATCAGATCAATTAGAGTGGAAATATCCATTTTTCATTTCTTCCACAAATCATGTTTATGCATTCAGGAATTAATAGAATAGGTGGCTCTTGTTATCTGCATTTCACTCCTCACAATTGATTATTAGAGATCAAACTCAGTCTACAAATACAGTTTTTCATATCTATGTTTTTACCCCTCCTTTTGTGGTGTGGGGGGGTAACTTTATGCATGTGCAAAATGATAGATGGGCTTCTGTGCTTGCTTAAATTTTAATATACTTATTAGGCTCCTCTTTCTTCTCATTCAGCCACAGTGGATCTCACTGGGTTAGCCTGTGTCATTTCACATGGCTTCCTTGAAGCAGCTGACGACCTCCTGCTCCTCCTCCTCCTCTATTACACTCTTGGCTGTCAGTAGAAATTGCCCTGCTTGTGGCATGTCCCTGATACTGGCTTCTCCACTCTGCTCAGTATTTTCATCATAGCAATTGACCTGTTGGCTTCTAGTGTGATCCACAGACTGCTCACAGCTTACTCTGATGGCTGCAAGTGATCTGTGGGGAATACAGACAGCCAGAGGGGCGATCAAGAGGTCCTTGAAGGAGACTATGAAAAGGCTGTGTGGAATGGAGAAGCCAGTGAGATCTGCTACATATAAGCAAAGAGATGGAGAAGCTAATGCTGTTACATTATGTCCTGAAACTTTGGACTTGGACTATTTTTGAGGAGTTATAGCTTTATTGGGCCTGGGGTGTTGCTAAAATAATTATTTTTGAGAAATTGGATTCCTGATATTAAATTCCTGATGGATGTGTGACTTACCTGTTTTTGGAAAGGCATTTTTTGCCACCAATCAAAAAATGACTCTGTTTTTCTGTGGCATAGATTTTATAATATTGTGAAATGTTTGTAATGTTACAGAATAATTAATTATCCCCTTCTCTGGTAGATTTAGGAATCTGTTTAACATTTGATTACTTTGTGAGATTATACTGTGTGTATATGTGTGTGTATATATATATTCCTCCTCCTCCTCCTCCTCCTCCTCCTCGTATTTCTTTCCTTTTTTTCTTAGTTTTTATTTTTTTCCACTATTTCTTTCTGTAAATCTTGTTAGGAAATACTTTAACGATTTCTTAAAAAAGAAACAGATGGGCTAATGAATACTATGGGAGAAAGTGGCTGTAGGCTCTGCTTTCTACCCACCCAGTAATCTCTGCCTTATTATTTGCAGTCTGATAGCACAGTGGATGTTAATTCTCATTATACGGACCTAGTATTTATCCATTTAACTTGCCAAGAAGTCTGCATCCAACTGTAATGAGGAATGTAACATGTTAATATGAGAAATAGTTTGGGTGCTGAAATTCTCGTAACCTCACCCCTTCCTTCTCAATTAGTCTCACAAAGGAGATTGTGAGAATCATGCTTGGAAAAGAGTCACATTCAGTTAAGGCAGATGCCAGGGAACTTGACATCTACAAGTTCCCTAATTTACAAACACCAACTACATCCCTGGATCTTTCCATTCGTTTGATCAAGTTGGTTGCTGCCTGGGACACACCATTATCAAGCTGATCAGATATTATTCCCTTTACCCCATCCACATCCATTCTGTCCTTACAGTCCTTACCCATGGATCATTTCCGGAACTCTTACCTGTGCTAACTAAAGTACTGTTGTTGTACAGTGTTCCTAGGTGAGGTCCAGAGAGGGAGAGGAAGGTATGTAGCTTATTGAGGTAATAGCGAAACCTGGGCCGGGTCAATACTGATCGGATGATCACATTACCAAGTGAGTGACCGATAAAGCTACAGAAATGTAAACATTAGCACAATTACACTGGTTCTTGCATAATTTAAACATTTTCTCCTTCTCCCCCCCCCCACACTACACACACACACACACACACACACACACATATTGGTTATGTGCCATCAAGTTAGTGTCAGCTCTTAGCAACCACATGGATAGATTTTCTCCATGACAATCTGTCCCTAACCTGGTCCTTCAGGTCTTCAAAGCATGCACCTATTCCCACTGCAACTGAGTCCATCCCCCTTGATGCTGGTCATCCTCTTCTTCTCTTTCCATCCACCTTTCCCAGCATCAGAACCTTCTCCAGAGAGC